GACTCACCAATTTCAGCTGAGAGTTCATCTGGAACAGAGAAATTTGGGATGAGAATTTCCCTGCTGGGGGAACGTTAAAAATGACAATTTTTCCATGATTTAGGAATGAGGRACTCACCATTCTCTGTGTCACATTCCTCTGAAAAAAAGGAGAGAAAAAATTGGAGATTGGGGTGGATATTGAGAGATTTGGGGATGAATTTATATTTTTGGTTACAAAATTTTGATATTTGAGGATCAATTTGTTGCTCTGGGGCTCTTTGCTGGTTTCAAATCCAACCTCTAGGAAATATTTTCACCTCCAGTGGAGCAAAAACCTCCTAAATAATCACAAAACTCCCCAAAATAACCCCCTAGAAAACAAATAATCCCAAAAATCCTCAAAACCCCAAAAATAATCCCAAAATAACCCCCCCAAAAAACCAAATAACCCCAAAAGAACCCTCAAAACCCCAAAATAATCCAAAAATAACCCCCTAAAAACCAAATAACCCCAAAAAGACCCTGAAAATCCTCAAAACCCCAAAATAATCCCCAAATAACCCCAAACCACTCCACTTACCCAGTTCAGCATCACTTTCTTTAGGGGGAAAATAAAAAGAAACAAAATTTAAATAAAAAGATTTTATGGCTCCATCAGTGGCTGCTGCTGGGGGGGGGTGAAGGACTCACCAAATTCCTCCGGTAATTTCCCTTAAAATCCAAAAAAAATTCCATCAAAACCTTTGGAATTGAGGCTTTTCCGGGACAAAGGGGGGAATAAAAAATTCCACTCACGGATTTGTGCGTCCCATTCATCTGGAAAAGAGACAAAAAGAAATTTAAAGTTGGGTTTTRTGATCTCCAAAGTCATTCCCAATTGGAAAAATTCCATAATTCCAGAAATTCACCCCCCATGGCCCCTCCTGGGTACTTTTTTTTTGGTTTTCACCCTCAGAATTATCTTTAAAAAGCATTAATTTATTTTTTTTTTATGGATTCAATGATCTTAGAGGTTTTCCCCAATTAAACCGATCCCATAATTCCATAATTAAACTGGATCCAGAAAGATTGAAGGTGTTCTGGAACATTCCATGGGTGGAAGGAGGAAAATCACTCACCCAGAGCTGCGTTTGCCCCTGGAAAAAAGGGAAAAAATGGTAAAAATGGGATCAGTTGGGGGCATTCCCAGAGGATAAACCCAGGAAATTAAAATTCAATTAAATTAATGTGGATATTCTGGGAGGAGCCCAACTCAAGAAGGGCAAAACGGGAATTTGGATGCGAAAATTTGGGAAAATCTGCCCCAGAGTGAGGAGAGGGGGGCTTGGGACACCCCAGGGAACCCAGGGCTGGGATTTTGGGGCCAAAAGAACCAGAATTGGACACCTGACCCCMAAAAAATTCCATTTTCACCCACCTGGCTCCATCATGGT